AGGTATGTAAAAAGCTGGATGTCGAACGTGCGACGTCAATAACTAACTCAAAATTATAAAAAAAACTAAAAAAAAAAATTTAAATTTTTTTTTTTTTATTTTTCAAAAAAAAAAAAAAAAAAAAGAATCTATAGTTAAACAATTTGGTGGTGTGTAATCAGAAAGAATAGTTGCGCAGTCGTTAAATTAGTTATTATTATTATTATTTACTTTTGTTATTTTTCTTATTACAAAATAGAAATCCTAAATTACTACCATTTAAATAAAGCATATTTAAACTTTGTAAAGACGATTATCATCTAAAAATTGAATTATATTTAGAAAAAACTTCGTTCTATGTACACTACAAGAAGAAATTGATAACCATATATATTCAATGCCATTTGAGATAAAAGGGTAAATATTCGGCCATATTTTATCTAATGCAACTTCTATATTAAAGGTGGATCCACAATAAATCGCCCATCCGTTTTTTTAGATTCGAAGTAGAAAGAGAGGTACCAAGTGTTTGTTGAGGTTGATATTGTCTATTTGATATTAAGGTGATCATCAACCGTACCCTTCCATTGTCAATGTGACCAAGGTTTTGGGTTGAAATTACTTCTCTTAGTAGCCGAAATTGCCGAGACACTTTGGGGCAAAATTTAATTTTTATAGGCCCAAACTATTTTTTATTAATAGCCGAAATTGGGAAAAATTATTTTTAATTTTTTCATGTTCATTCTTGTAAAAAATATTGTATTGAGAAGCTCAAACTATTGTCAAAGCCACTTTTTTTCAAAATAGTTTGGACCAGAAACCTTAAATGTGACACTCCAAAAAAAATTATCTTGCGGTACATTATTATTATAGTATTTTCCGACATTCCGCGCTATGCAGACTTGTGAAGCGGTTAAAAATACACATGATTCAATAATTTTGGGAGCTGTATGACCATTTAATAAAGCTCTAGTTTTCTTCACAAAAAACATTCATGAAAAGATCTGCAAACATTTTTTTTTTAGAATTGCATCTTAACCTCCAAAATCTAATATGGATGTAGAGAAATGTTCAGTACGTCCCATGTGTAATGCTTCGTTACGATTGAGTGAAATTTCACACCAATAATTAAATAAAAATTTATTTATCTATTTGCTTTTTAAAAATTTGTTACATTTTTATAAACCAGAAAAACCAACTTCCCAAAAATTTTTACATAATAAAAATATTATTACTATTAATTAATTACTATTAATTACTATTGATTCATCTATTAATTATACTTGTAAAAAATTATATACTTAAAAAAAACATTAAAAATTATATATGATAGTGAATGAATTGAATGAATTAAAATGAATAATGAATTAATGTATTTGTTTTTTTTTTGATGATGATTAATGATGATTTATGATTATGATTAGTAAATAATAACGCGATACAATATTGTAAATATGATATTGTTATGATGATGTCGATGGTCCAGCAATAGCTTTCTTTGTGCTTAATTTCTTTGCTTGTTCAAAAGCCAATAAAACTTTACAAATTAAAAGAACTTTACGTACTTTTGCAACACTTTTAGAAATTCTGGCTTGATATAAAGCATCTGATTTACGACCACTTAACTTGGTTTTATGAGCTTTTGATGGCCATAATCTTGCTGTTAATTCAAATGACCAATATTTAAATATAGCAACTTTAACAATATCTAAAAATACAAAGTATATCAATGAAACTCCTATGATACCAACACCCCATCCCCATCCAACAGCAGGAGTTAAGGCACCATAAATTGAGATGAACATAGCAAATACTTGAGTACCCATTACAGCTATGAAGAAAGTTGGTGATGGTAAATTTTCCCAAAAGTATCCCGATAATCTAGTTGAGAAAATGACAAAATGTGGAGCTGATGAAATGTGTAAATACATGATAGTCTCTAATCTCTCGTCTTCTTTATCAATTCCAAAAACATGAGTTGCAATATAGAAATGCGCAAATGAAAGAGCTGTTAAAAGTACACCTAACACCAATGACAAAGTAATCAATTGTCCAAGTCTCCATTTGTCAGGATTTGATGAAATCTTTGCATTATCTACAGCTATGACTAAAGTGGCAGCGTCATTCAACAAAGCTATAAGAATCAAAAGAATTGGACTCATCTCCCAGTCCTCTATCAGTGTGATGAAGAAAAAGAAAATTAAGAAATGAACGGTGGAGGTGATACGATACAAAGCATAAGATCTCATACGCTGAAAGATTGCACGTGATGTAATAATACCATCAACAATTGTGGAAAGACCAGGAGCCAATAAGACAATATCTGCGGCTGATCTTTAACAATATCTAAAAATACAAAGTATATCAATGAAACTCCTATGATACCAACACCCCATCCCCATCCAACAGCAGGAGTTAAGGCACCATAAATTGAGATGAACATAGCAAATACTTGAGTACCCATTACAGCTATGAAGAAAGTTGGTGATGGTAAATTTTCCCAAAAGTATCCCGATAATCTAGTTGAGAAAATGACAAAATGTGGAGCTGATGAAATGTGTAAATACATGATAGTCTCTAATCTCTCGTCTTCTTTATCAATTCCAAAAACATGAGTTGCAATATAGAAATGCGCAAATGAAAGAGCTGTTAAAAGTACACCTAACACCAATGACAAAGTAATCAATTGTCCAAGTCTCCATTTGTCAGGATTTGATGAAATCTTTGCATTATCTACAGCTATGACTAAAGTGGCAGCGTCATTCAACAAAGCTATAAGAATCAAAAGAATTGGACTCATCTCCCAGTCCTCTATCAGTGTGATGAAGAAAAAGAAAATTAAGAAATGAACGGTGGAGGTGATACGATACAAAGCATAAGATCTCATACGCTGAAAGATTGCACGTGATGTAATAATACCATCAACAATTGTGGAAAGACCAGGAGCCAATAAGACAATATCTGCGGCTGATCTATTTACGACCACTTAACTTGGTTTTATGAGCTTTTGATGGCCATAATCTTGCTGTTAATTCAAATGACCAATATTTAAATATAGCAACTTTAACAATATCTAAAAATACAAAGTATATCAATGAAACTCCTATGATACCAACACCCCATCCCCATCCAACAGCAGGAGTTAAGGCACCATAAATTGAGATGAACATAGCAAATACTTGAGTACCCATTACAGCTATGAAGAAAGTTGGTGATGGTAAATTTTCCCAAAAGTATCCCGATAATCTAGTTGAGAAAATGACAAAATGTGGAGCTGATGAAATGTGTAAATACATGATAGTCTCTAATCTCTCGTCTTCTTTATCAATTCCAAAAACATGAGTTGCAATATAGAAATGCGCAAATGAAAGAGCTGTTAAAAGTACACCTAACACCAATGACAAAGTAATCAATTGTCCAAGTCTCCATTTGTCAGGATTTGATGAAATCTTTGCATTATCTACAGCTATGACTAAAGTGGCAGCGTCATTCAACAAAGCTATAAGAATCAAAAGAATTGGACTCATCTCCCAGTCCTCTATCAGTGTGATGAAGAAAAAGAAAATTAAGAAATGAACGGTGGAGGTGATACGATACAAAGCATAAGATCTCATACGCTGAAAGATTGCACGTGATGTAATAATACCATCAACAATTGTGGAAAGACCAGGAGCCAATAAGACAATATCTGCGGCTGATCTAGCAGCATCTGTGCAACCATGTACAGCAATACCAACATTTGCTTTCTTCAATGCAGGAGCATCGTTTACACCATCACCAGTCATTCCAACAAGCAGGCCACGTTTTTGTAAAAGTTCAACCACACGATATTTATGTTCAGGTATGACTTGAGCAAAACCATCAGCCCTTTCACAATGTTGGGTGACTTCTTCTTCGCTTTTTTCAGGATCTACAAGATGATTAGCATCCAAGATGACACGATTCATACCAAGTCTATGAGCGACTTCTTTTGCGATGATCAATTGATCACCAGTGATCATCTTAACCTCCACACCATATCCTTTACAACGTCTGATTGTTTCACCAGAATCAGGTCTAGGAGGATCTAATAATGAGATCATACCAACCAATTCATAGTCTTCCAAATTTCCAGGTTTAGTACGAGCCACACCAAGAGCACGTAGACCACGTTTAGCTAAAGCATTGACAGCATGCACAGCATCATCATCGCCACCAACTAATTTAATGATAACTTGAGGAGCACCTTTTGCAACTTTGAAAACTTCTTTTGTATCCAGATTTGCAACCGTGGCGTTTGTCATTTTTGTTGTTGGATTGAAAGGAATAAAAGCAGTGACTTTGTACCCGGGAACTTCATTCTTGTTTGTCCTATCCTTTAATACATCCAAACTAGATTCAGCAGCAAAACGAACAGCAGATTCGATAGGATCGTTTGCACCAGGTTCAGCCGATAAATAGGAACAGAGTAAAATATCATCTTTTGTGTAGCCAGGACAAAGGTAAGGTTCGTCAAAAGTCAATTCGTTGAGAGTCAAAGTGCCAGTTTTATCAGAACAAAGTACAGAAACAGAAGCCATTTCTTCAACAGCAGTAAGACGTTTAACAATGACTTTTTTGGCAGCCAATTGTTTTGCACCAACAGCCATAGTTACAGACAAGACAGTAGGAAGACCGACAGGAATAGCAGCAATAGTTAAAACCAAAACATGTCCTAATACAACGAGTGGATGACCTTTATCGGTACCTCTGTATTTAACCAATTGATAGACAAGGATGATAGAAACCAAAACAACAGTGATCAAAATTAAGAAATTTCCAATGGCGTTGACAACTTTTTGGAAATGACCTTGTTCAACAGTAATTGAAATCAAATTAGCAGCTCTGCCAATAAAAGTATTTGCGCCAGTTTTTGTTACGACAGCCAACATTTGACCTTGTTTAACTATTGAAGAGGAATAGACGGTGTCGCCCTTCTTTTTTTCAACAGGTAAAGATTCACCAGTTAAAGCGGATTGATCTATTGAAAGATGACCTTCAGTTTCAGCACCAGTGACAGAAATACCGAGTAAACGAGCATCAGCAGGAATAATATCACCAAGTCTGAGACCAATGACATCTCCAGGAACCAAATCAGAAACTTCGACTTCAATAAATTGGCTATCACGCCATACTTTAGCTTTTAAGGCAAGGGTTTGTTTTAAAGCATCCAACGCAGATTCGGCACGAGCTTCTTCAAAGAAACCAATGAAGGCATTTACAAGAAGCAAAGCTACAATAATACCAAATTCAAGCTAAATTAGGAAAGAAAAGAGGGAAAAATTAATAAATTAAGAAAAAAAATTTTATTATTAATCGGTGGAAAAAAAAAAAAAAAAAAAAAGTTACCCATTTTTGTAATATAGCAGCAAATATACAGGCAATCTCAATGAGATAAGCGATAGCACCGGTGAAATAGGACAAAAATTTTAAAAAAGGATTTGTTTTTACTTCAGCTAATTCATTTTTGCCAAATTGTTCTAAACGCTGTCTAGCTTCCTCGGCGGTTAGACCCTTAGAAGGATCGGTGTGCAGTAAAGCCTCCAATTCAGGAGGTATATCTTCCGATACCTCAACATGTTTTTGCTCTATTATTTCAACGTTTGATTTTTCTTTTGTATCATTTTTCGACGATATTGTTTGTACAGTTGTTTTTTCGATTATTTTCTCTTCGATAATATTATCGGACGAAGGCTTTTCTTCTGAAGACATATTTTATAACGTGTGTTTTATTTTTTTTTTTTTAATTAAAAGTGTATATGAAAATAAATTTACAATCTATTTAATTAATAAATTTACAAAAAAAAAAATTAACGATTGAGCGAAAGTGATAATGACGGTAAGAGAAAATTTTATTTCTATTAAAATTCTCCCTTAATAGAAATAAAAATAGTAAACCAAGTAATTAGTAAATAGTAATTATTTTTAAAAAAAATTTTTTTTTAGAAATTTTTTGGGAAAAAATAAAATGTTTAATATTAAATTTTTATATTAAATTTTTTTTATATATATTATTATATTTTTTTAAATATCTATCGCGGGGTTCGACGGCAAACCACACAATACTTAATAAGCAAATTAATAATTGAAAAATATTCTTAACACCACATCACAGACGCACCCCATATTTGTTATCAGTAAAACAAATAATATAAATAACACAATAATATTCAAAACTATTCAAAACATATTTTAGATCGAAAAATAATCGTGAAAAATAAAACTTTAATAAAAAAAAAGGAAATTGCTTTTTTAGTTATAATTAGTAATTTGGGTAAAAAAAAATATTTTGATTATCTTTTGATTCATTCACCATAACAAACTAACTCTGATAGATTGATTGATAACTTGAATGTGTATTATATGCAATAAATAAAAATATTTATTAATAAAGTTTATATAATCTAACTAAATCAATCAATTTTAAAAGCCTTTTGGTTGCAAGATAAAAAACCACGTGAGTTATAATCATTGTATTACAAAATTGGATCCATATTCTCATCGTAGAATGGTGTTACTTCTACGAAAGGTTTATTCGAACATCTGAATTATTAACAAGTATTAATAAATTGCAACAACCAATTGATGATTAATTTTATATTCTCTCTCTTACACTCAATTTAACTTATTAATTAATTATTTACCTTTTAAATATTCTGACAAAAGGCACACATATAATACGATCGTTGTTAATGTCACATTGATATTGTACTAGTTCGAAATAAACACAATTTTTTTCTTGGCTATCCTTTTTTATCCGATATTTTTTTAATGTGTTTTTGTTTGATCTTTGAAAATTTTCCATTTTTTATTATATCTCAAAAAAAAAAAAATATATAATTTTTTTTTTTATAAAAAGGAGAAAACTAGAAACAAGTTTAACACAAAACAAGTTGGGAATTTTTTTTTCATTGATGCTGATGATCTACGTATTTATACACATATTTATACAATTAATTTTGACTGGTTATTTTATTGGTTATTTTATTATCATTGCGTAATCTACCGAATTGTTGCTGCAAAATTCCCATTTTTTTTTTACTCGGTTGATTGCGATTGTAAGAATCATTTGTACCAAGATTAAAAAAAAAAAATAGTAAAAAGTAATAAATAAAGTCAAAGTTTTGGGAATGTGTCGTTCGCATGGCGGAATTTTCTTTTGTAAAAAAAAACAAGTAATTAATTAGCGATGTAATTTAATTTAAAGATTTAGCGCAAGATTATCAGAGATTGATTATATCCACCAATTACTGCATTAATTATTACTGTTACAACATATTCTTCATATTCTTCATTTTCTTCATTTTCTTCATTTTCTTCATTCTTTTCATTCGTTTTCTTCATTCTCTTCATTCTCTTCATTCATTCTCTTCATTCTTTTATAAGTGAATAATGACATTAATACATAAGTTGCCTAGTATGTCACCGTTTCGCACCATTCGTTAAAAATAAAATGCAGCCAAGAATTTCGAATTATTGTCATACAATGAGTGTTTCTGTCCCTTGTTGTACGATACCTTATTAGGTAATAGTAATGGAAATCAGGGTATTATAAATCGTTTCAGATCGGCCAATAAAAATTAAGGTTTAATTGTGCGACAAGTAACGGTCGCACAACTTTTTATTGGCCTTGTAGAGAAAATACATTCTAATATGGTCATCTTTGGTAGTGTGATTTCATGCCTTATATATCAAATTTATCTAATTTACGATGACGTATCACGTTACCATGGAGGAATTAAAAAAAGGCACAAGGTTACCCAAAATTGGCACCTATAAATT